ACAGACACACACACAAAACGACAAAAGTGATTATAAGGGCAATCCTAGCGGAGCGGATCGCAAATAATGCCATCACACAGTGGCATACTCACCGTGTTATCACCCTCTGTAGATCTATGGTTGTAAATATATGCAAATATTATATCAACCAAACCAAAATAAACAATACTATGTGTTTCTTGGTCCATGGATAAATACTCTTTCTTTGGGAGTTTAATCATCTGTTCTTTTTCTTCTTCAGAGAAAGGCACTGTGGAATAAATTTCAAATATAAAATGAGTAGCTACAAGTCTACAGAAATGCTAAAAAGAAAAACAGATATTTATTATGATATTGGCTATCTTGCTATTCAGATAAAAATGTCTTCCTTTCATGAATTTCCTTGAACCATAATTAAACTTTTCACCACCAGTTCCCTCTTTTTCCTCACAAATTCACAAAATAGTCCTGTTTATAGTCTGCACTTTTCTTCAGAAGATTAGGACAAAAATTGCCAAATTTTATGAGTAAAAACTGAAAATTTACTCAAATTTGTCTGTTGGCTCCAAAATTGGGGTTCATTTCCAGAAATATTGGAGAATATCAGAAAAAAGTGCAAAAACATTTGGACGAGAAAGTCTGGTGGTAAAAAGGTAAAGAAACTAAAACATTACTCGCAGTCTCTATTCCTTCAACAACCTCATTCCCAAATACTTTACAAATTACAATAATATGCAAATTAGTTAATTAGTAATTTAATTAGTTCCCATTTCAATTCGATTTTGTTTCTTTTCCACTGTTCACATTAATTGCTCTTAACCAGAATAAGAAATTTATTATCTGAATAGATGCAATAAACGATTATATATAATAAGCCTACAACTCACCTATGCTTTCATCAACACAATATACAGATTGTTTTTCAGTATTTTGTTTCTCTTTAGATTTTAACTGTTTGTATTGCTCATTCCAAGTCGGCTGGTATTCTAATATCTGTTGTATTATGGCATCGTCATACAAATCAGCGCTGATAATAAAAAACAGATTGATCAATATTCATTATTTGAATATGAAATATTGATTTGTTTCCAAACATGAATTCGCTATAGTACGGTATTTTATAAACATTTTGACATCAATATCAAACCATACGCAATGCGATGACAGTCATGCTGTAAATTCTATCAATATACAAGTGTACCCAACTAGATAATCATGAAGACGCTGGAGTACTGTGACCATCGTCCGAATCGCACAGTTTGTTGGTGCTGACTCCACCAACCCGTGTAGGATCAGCCTGGGTATTAAAACGTGTATTTTATGTTAAACAAATGGCCAAGTTTGATGCGCCTGTTGGAAAGGCGCCCAATCAGACGCTGTGTAACATTGCATGGTAAGCTAAAGAACATTGTGTCGGAAATGGCGACTTGTAGCTCGGTTACTTCAAAATTCTTCTAGTAGCTGTGTGTGTTGAGTGTGTTTAGGTTGTTTGCCAAACCCCAAAAAACGGCGCTGTATCTGAGAAACAGAATGATTCATTAATTTATGCAATCGTATCGGTGTAGTCATTGTTTACAATGTTTCTACAGTTTACACAATGCAAAGCGAACACTATAGAATCTATTAACAAACATGAAACTAGGAGATGGAAAATAAAAAAAAGAAGTGCTAGAATTTGTAGTGCCTAAACACACAAAGAGGATTTTCGTCACATTCAATATAGTCTTGTATGATTTGATGGTACTGGTAGTGGAGATTCACACAGATCATTCTGGCATTCACAGATAATAATACAATGAGATCATTAATCAATGGGTGTACTACTAAAATATATACACACTTAAAAACTTGTGCGACTCAGAAGTATATACACCACCTGATAGTCATGTGACAAAAACGATATGCGAATAAATGGCTACTATGTCCATATTTATAAAGGAACTTGAGAAGGGAATAACGTAAAACATGAATTTCATATAATTTTGGACTTCCACAAAAATATAAACAGTGACAAGACAAAACACCAATGAAGTGAACCAAACAAGCTGACCTCTGACCTCAATTAATATTGCTTACAGATAATGAGCCTCATCAAAATGTTCACGTTCATCTTCTATTCTTTGTTTTCTTCTCTTACTATGACCTGTATTGTCAGGATCTGGAATGTCAACCGCTCCGCTTAACTCATCCTGCAACATTAAATGACAAAGCTCTATAATACACCAGGATTAATGCCAGTACTACATGCAATCCACATCTCAATTAATCCACTAGCTGTTACTGTAAAGGGGGTAATTATTCACTGGGTTTTAATTTAGCTTATTTCGCTGACTGGAAAAATGCGCTAAATTAAAACACAGTGAATATGTAAAATTTAGCATAGAACACATTATCTAAATGATAAAACCGTGAATTTAAAACCCACTGAATATGCCTGAAATGGTAAATCAGTGAAATTTAAACCCAGTGAAAATTAGTCATTTTACAGTATTCAAAGACGTGAAATATAAATCCGGGAGTTCATCCTTTATTTTTACATTACCATTAATGTTTTGAAAACACCACTTCGTAGATTAGCGAACCCATATTTGACATCTGATATCACGGTATCCTGTATTTCTTGGTTTTGTTCTTGCTCTATCTGCCAATCAAACTCTTCTTCTTCTCCGTCGTCCACACACGATGTTTCTCCTTCAGTACAGAAAACAAAGTTAATAGTTGATAGCATTGTAATTTACCTATATTGATATGAAACAGTACAATGACCACTGCCCTTTAAATTTAATAGTGTTGTTCAAGAATTGTTTCCAGAATATGTCTGTGTGTCTCTCCTGGCTTTATTATGTGCCCAACACAAGTGCCAATCATACATAGAGCAAATGTTATCATTGAAACCGTATTCTACTGTGTGATCCTATTTTTATCAATAGTGGTATATTTAAACGATAACCAAACTTAGTGAACATGCGAGTGAGTGATTCTTTCGTTCCTCCTTTCAATTCTGGCAAACCTCCTCCAAGAATGAGGGGACTGCATTTTTGTGTGTTCAATTGTCAGATACGATTTGAACTCCCCTTAGGAAAACTACGGTAAAATAAAATGCGATTTTAAAACGACATAGAATATTTAAAAAATAAAATGACATACTATGATGTATTTACCTACTACTTGTATTAAAGGTTGCGCTGCCGAAGTCTTCCCCTTGGGTGCCAGTAACTTCGTCAACATATCCAGACCATCAAAATTCTCACCAGGATTCTCCTTGGGAATCCTTATGTTGAAGTACCCTGTTGCATAAAAATCAAAATGTTAAAAAAAATGTATGCACTCAACTGCACTTCCACTAACACTGTAAATTAGTCACAAAATAAATTTACATTTTGCTATAACACAATTATGTTACTTTTGCCATCAATGGAATTTTAAACCATATCGTGAATGGGTAAACTATGCTTCAACTTGGCCTATTAACCACTAGGGCATGCTATTTAACATAGTTATTGAGCAGCAGTTTGGCCAAAAAGTCATAAATTGCAGACTGTCCAAATTTTCAGGATTACCTAGTAAAGTCTAGTAAAGTGTGAGAATGATGACACCCCTCCCCTACTGTAAAATACTTTTTGCTATTTTTGCTGAACGAATGATTCAGTGAAAAACAAATCCAGCGAATACAACTTTTTTCCTATATTTAACATTCAACTCGTCAAAAATCTGTGAAAATAAAATACACAAAAACCTAAAAGTCTTTTCAGCAAAAATTCCAGCTAAAATAAAGTATTTTACAGTATTATCATTGTTTTTGCTTACCTGTATTAATGTCATAATTTGCAGTCTCTCTGCCATCCTCCACTATTCTTCCCGGTAAATTAAGTCTACAAAAAAGATAAATGTAGCTCTAGTAAAATAATGAAAACAAACAGTTATTCTATTCTGTTTAAATCGATTGTCAGGTGGTCGGATGGA